TTTTCAATGAACTTTTAATGGACCAGAATTACCTTTTTTGCCGCGGTTTTTTCCTTTGCCAACTTTACCATTACTCAACGTTCGACAGAGCGAGATAATTTCTCGGATTTTTCTATTACACTAAAAATTGTTTCATCTTTACATGCTCACTTTGGAGGTTGGTTGGCCGCATCTTGATATGCCTTAATGTGACAGCGTGATGCTGTTAGTGAGTTTTCACAGGTGCTTGCCAATACTTGGCTGTGTAGCCGCGCGATGCGGTTCCATTCAAGTCTCACAAATTGACCCTTACTCACCACAGAGTCTCCAGTAGCTCAGTGGTTAGAGCATCCGACTAAATCACGGAGGGTCGTGGGTTCAAGTCACATCTGGGTCTCGGATTTTTCTATTACACTAAAAATTGTTTCATCTTTACAGAATTACCTTTCATAGTTTTTTTTTTTGTACTCTCCTTGTTATATACTATGCTTCTAAACCTTTCCTTTTACAAATTTTCCCATGTTAAACTTACTTGGTCGAAAACTGTCATAGCTCGTTGAAAAGAAAGTCCAGTAAAAACCAGAGAAAGTAATTCATACAATGAAGCGACATTTCACAGGGTCGAGCTCTAAACTCCATACAACAAATCGAAACAGGGTCAAGTCAATAAACAGTGGAGTACTCCTTAATTTAAGTATTGTTAGATCTTTGTGGTGCGGAAGTCAAAAAGGCTCGCTCGTAACACTAGCTCGCTGTATTTAACATAAAAAAAGGTTTTAAAGAAAATTTATCAAAGAAAACCTGCTGGAGAGAATTTTGGATTCCGTAGAGCCATCCTAGTTTTCTAGAATAAGTTTTTTCCTTGATAAGTTTCCTTGCTCAAAATTTGTATTGTCTGCTTACTAAAAAAAAAATCAAGAGAACCATAGAAATGCATTGATCTCCAAGCGCAGTGCAATAAATCGAAAATGAGTACAATGCAGCACTAATATATTTATCCCTTCTTACAAATTTGTGGTATAAAAGTCAAAGCGCTAGCTCTTAGCACTCAATCCTCAACTCGCGAAAAAAAAGCTTTAGTTGAGGATATTGTCATGCAGTAATCGGTTCTATTTTTTACTGAATATTCGAAGTGAATTGAAGGGACAAGAAGTAAACGTCTCAAATCATTAATAATTCATGACGTTATAAGCTAACCAGAGCGCTCCATTCGGGTCAGGTGGATGACTTTGAGACTCAKGGAAACACCGTTTGAAAATAACTAGCGTTTTGTCACGTTTTCATCACTAGTGATAAAATTGTCATTAGAGCGAATGTTACCAATGGTCAAACATTTGGTGGCAACAGCCAAAAAATCGATTCGGCTCATATTCTCAAGTTAAGTAGGCGTTATGGTGAAACAAAGCAATGCCTACTTCGTTTGGCTGAATTTCGATTTATTTTCGAGAAAATCGATAATAACTGAATTTCGACCAAATGCCGCTTTTGAAGCTCAAAATTTCAGAGAAATCTCGGAGCGTCACGCCACGAATTGAAAACACTTGAACCGATATAAAAACTACCAAATCTTGAAAAACAATAACAATACATATGCCGACAGCAATCTGAACAATTCTTGATCATTTATTTACACAACATAATTGAATTTATCCGACCTTCTTTTAACAAGATTAAAAATAGGTCAAAAGTAACCTGTTATTTAACTACGTGCTATACAAAGTAATCGACTGAAAATCTGGCTATTGTAAGGCAAAGTGTGGTTCTTTTCGATCTCCAAAGGA